GGGCCAAAAATATGGACCATCGACTCAACTTTGGGCCAAACATTGACTCTCTATTGTAAATGATTAAAATTTTTAAAACACCATAACAAGTTTCCCTACTTCCACGTCTACCCTTCACCTCGATTCACAGTATATATATATATATATATATATATATATATATATATATATATATATATATATATATATATATATATATATATATATATATATATATATATATATATATATATATATATATATATATATATATTTTTTTTTTTTTTTTTTTTTCTTAAAATGTGATTCCTACTTAGTATAATGACTTAAAAAGGTAATATATATTTTGATTTTTACATATTTGTTCATTGAGTTTTTTTCATCTATATTTACCCCTTCAACTTGTTAAACTGTACACATTCAGTCATTATGACCGGTTACTCCAGATTAACCGGTAAAATAACTTAATAAGACAACATATTTCTCACTTTATATACATTTAGTCATTAATTTTTTTTTCAAAATAAGTCATTTTTGTTTTCGTACTCATTCAGTATTTATGAATGATTTCTTAAGGTTTTTTCTTACGACATCTTACATTGGATAATCATTAATGAGGTGTTTCGGCTTTTGATTCATATGTTCATCGTGATCTCGACTACTTGATTATTTAGGTCATGTGTTCTTAATGTCATAACTTATTCATATGATCTCGGATTTTAACGATCTTTATATCCATGCATTCGTATTTTAGTCTACTACAACTTTCATTTAGATGATTCCCATTAAAAGGTAATGTATTTTTACTTACGATCTTTATATTCATGCATTTTTTATGAATGCATGTATAGATGTTTTTTTTTATACAATCATAAGTAAAAATATATTACATTTTGACGGGATTAATCTTAACGAAAGTTGTAGTAGACTAAAAAAACGAACACGTGGATATATAGATCCTTAAAATCAAATATCATATGAACAAGTTACAATGTTCAGAACACAAGACCTACACAATCAAGCAGTCGAGATTGCGATGAACATATACATCAACAGCTCCAAACACCTCATTAATAATTGTGCCACATAAGATGTCGTGAGAAAAACCTAAAAAAATCATTCATAAGTACCAAATAAATACAAAAAATGACTTATTTTGAAACAAAAAAATATATATATTAAGGACTAAATATGTATAAAAATAATAAGGACGAAATGTGTACAAAATGAGAAATATATTACATTATTAACTAATTTTTTTCGGCTAACCTGAAGTAACCCATCATAAATACTGAATATGTACAGTTTAACTTGTTTAAGGGGTAAATATGAACGAAAAAAATTCAATGACTAAATGTGTACAAATCAAAAAATATATTACCCTTTTAAGTCATTATCCATTCCTATATCTTCATACAATTTTTTAAGAGTACCTTTATTTAGTCATTTTGTTTTCTTGTTATTTTTTATACATTTGCTTCTCTTTTGTATTTTCACATACATGTCTTCTTTTTCTTTAATCTTTTGTATTTTCACATACATGTCTTCTTTTTCTTTAATGTTCTCTAAACAATATGTTATAAACTTGTACGGCAACAAGCATTTAAAAGTTTTAGTTTTTAGCTTTAACAAAAAGTTGGATTTAACCAAAAATTTTCATTTTAGAGTGTTAAACTTTAAGCTTTTAGTTTAAAATAAATAAATAAATCTAAAAGCTAGTTTCATATAACTTTTAGAGTAAATTACACGAATGGTTCCTATGGTTTGGGGTAATTTGCACGTTTGATCCCTAACATATTTTTTTTAACTCGAAAGGTCCTTACGGTTTGTTTTTGTTACGTGCTTGGTCCCTACAGTTTGTTTTTGTTACGCACTTGGTCCCTGTCTTACCTAAAATGACTATTATTTAAATAAGAAAAAATGGTGGGGTAGGTAAGGTAAGGTGAGTGGGGTGGGGTTGGGGGTGTGTTTACTTAAATAAATTAAAGTATTAAGGGAAAAATAGTATTTTTAGGTGAGACAGGGACCAAGCGTGTAACAAAAACAAACAGTAGGGACCTTCCGAGTTAAAAAAATAAATTAGGGACCAAACACGTAAATTACCTAAACCATAGGGACCATCCGTGTAATTTACTCTAACTTTTAATATAAGTTATTGATATTTTTTAATCAATTTTTAGAATTGTTTCAAACATGATCCTTATTTTAGATTTACGTATGTATTTTAAAACTTTTAATTATATTTCTCACACATTCATGACAAATAAAAATTATAGTTTCTAACTAACTTCAAGTAACTAAGGGGCTGTTTGGTAGCCTCTTAATTGTACAATTAAGAGGCAACCTCTTAATTTTTCAGATTCAGTGTGTTTGGTTACCTATGAATAAAAGTCTCTTAATATTGTAAAAGCCTCTTAAACTTTCAGACCTGAACTAGTATCTGAATAAAAATAAGAGACACGGGTTCCCTATTTTTCCCTTGTATGCTCGCTTCCTTCAAACCACACCCACCTTTCCGGTCTCCTCCCACCCCTGACCAACTTCAGCGCCTCCTGTTTCCTCCTATCGTCGACCTCGCACAACAACACTGCCACCCTCATTGTCACCTTGCCAAGTTACGACCTCAGTGCGCATCCGCAGGCATCGATAGGGTTATGAAATCCGATCATTTTGAAATGGTTCTAGGTAACGTTTGTTTTTCATTCTTGCCCTAAAAACCGGTTATTCGGAATTGTTATCAAATTAGAACCCTAATTCTTTGATTGTGAGCAACTGTAATTTTTTATGTGAAGACGTGAATGATGTTTGTTAATTTTTCTATTTATTGAAACCTGTTATAGACATGCTTAATATTTTACAATGTTTCTTTGGTCTTGCTGAGAAATACCCACAATTCTTTTTCAAAAACTCTTTTCTTTGATCTCTTCATTTGTTTTGTTCGGATAACCTAGGACTACTTCAGTTTGAGTTAATTTGGTTGTAGCTATCAATTGGGATAAATTTGCCATTATGTTTTTGTTAGCTGTTGGAATGAAGAAATAGCAAAAACTTATGTTCTTTGAATTCATATTTCAGTTTAGATAAGATTACACAGGTTTGAGCTTATCAGACTTTATCACTGTGAGTAATATTTGAAAGGAATTTTTTCATGAGTTATGCATATGAATTATGAAAATTGGCAAATGTTTCCAAAAAATCCAACAATGGCATAACATTGTATAATATTGAATGCAAATTGGTTAACTCTCAAATGATATATTAACTATTTTTATTATTTAAACCTACTAATATTTTGTATTGTCTACATGTATCCCAGATTAATATCCATATAATATTTTTTCATTTATTAATGATGAAGGTATGGAGCATGTGCTCGGTGATGGTGTATGATAACGAATGTGTGAGGCAAGGATGGTGGTTGAGTGTTAATGGTGAAGATGTGGCTGAAATAACTCCATTTGTATAACTTGGGAATTAATTTTAATAATATGAATTTGCTTTTTTGTTTCTTGTTGTAATATGATGTTTTTATTGTTGACATGTTTGTTGAATTTGTATTTTAAAGTTGTGATAATATAAAGTGGTTTAAATGTTGATAAAATGATTATATGTACTAAACGTTGGTAAAATGATTATATGTAAATGTGGATTTCTCAAAATTTGGATAGTTTTATTTGGTATTTATTATTATTTTTAAATAGAAGGGTAAAATAGTTATTTTCATCATTCAGCATAACAATTCAGAGGTTCCAACCAAACAACATATTAACAGTTCAGATCTTAAAAATTCAGACCCTCTTAGAAATTCAGACCTCTTAAAAATTTATATCTTAAGAATTCAGATCCTGCCAAACAGTCCCTAAAACTATCACATCAAGTTACTAAACTTTTTTTTTAATTATTTTTATCATATATGTGATGATAAACATAAAATAATTCATGCGTATGGATGGGAGACAAAAGAACAAGTTACGCTGATAACCTTTTTTAGATTACAAAACGAAAGATTTATTTTGAGTCAAAATGATGGTATGATTCTTTCAATGTAAATGATCAAAAAATAATCATTTGATTTTCACAATATACATTTCGATTTGCAAAATACATGGTCCCTGCTCTATTAATTTAATATATTTTTTTTTTCCTCATTTGCAGTGTAACTGACTCGCAAATTAAGAAAAAGATTTTCAAAATAAAACCAATTCTCAAGATTAAAAAGTTAGTTGGAATAATCAACAAAATCATTTCGTAAATTAATAAAACAATTTCCCAAAGTCTACTTCACAAAATAATTGGTTATGATAATCATTTCGTAAATCAATAAAACAATTTCCCAAAGTCTACTTCACAAAATAATTGGTTATGATAATCATTTCGTAAATCAATAAAACAATTTCCCAAAGTCTACTTCACAAAATAATTGGTTATGATAATCATTTCGTAAATTAATAAAACAATTTCCCAAAGTCTACTTCACAAAATAATTGGTTATGATAATATGATCTTTTAACTTCAATTTGCTTTAAGGTGAACAGAGCAGTCCACGTTTTATATCAAGGTGACAGGCTGTATCCAGGAATTAAAAAGTCCGAAAAATTATGCCTCAGTCCCAGCAACGGCCAGCAAGCATATCCTCTTTTTGTTCTTTTATGCCGCCGCCGCCGCCGCCGGCAACCATACCACCACACAATCTTAAATTGCCGACATGTGATCAGATATTCAAAGTTCAAACCCAGGCGAATACTTCTTTATCCGACGAACAACGCTAACTGTGCCTAAAAAGATTTGTGATTCTCATCTTTTGTGCACGCAAATCAAGACACTAACAAAGCTTTCATCTGTTGAATTCAATAAAATTTCCCAAAAAACGAAACAATATCTTGACATTGATATAACACAAGCAGATTAAGCTAAACTAAAAAAAGAAAAAAAGAACAAAAAAACTGCAGTTACTCTCTCATTCATGAAGGATTCATATGCTGTAATCTCAGTGTTTTGGTATTTACATTCAGCCTGAAGCTTCATCTCCTCGGAGGCTCGGTATGTCCGTCGAACGTGACAGCCCCCCTGCGTCTACGTGACGACCCGCTCAATGTAGACGACAAAGATCTACTTCGATGGCTTGCTCGATCATCAGAACTTGAACTAGAACTCGAAGCCAGAGCTCTTCTTCCTGTTCTTACACATCCACCTCCTAAACAGGAGAACAAATTGCGGAAAACACTTCTTAATCCATGGCGTTCTCTAGTGACACTACCCCTTGAAGCCCATGAAATCCTCCTCGGAGCTCCATTCTGGTTGAACCCACCATCCATTTCAGTGAAAACGACTGGCAATTCTCTCTCGCCGCCTCTTCTTCCACCGGAAAATCTCCCCACGGCAAATCCGCCTCCGGGAAGCCGCCATATGGTTAAGCCCACGGCTTCTTCTTCGTTCCCGGATTGGTTATTTGCTTCTCTGGGTTGATCCCCTGAATCTGTGTTTTCTGTTGGTAATTCATGGCGGCATACAGGGCAGGAGTTGCGTAAAGCGAGCCAGGGGAGAATGCAATCGGAATGGTATAGATGTTGACATGGCATTTCTTTAGCTTCTGATCCTAAATCGAATGGTTCCTTACAAACTGCACAATATGATTCGATTGACACGTGATTTTCTTGAATTTCAATAGTTGGCATTGCTTCAATGGCCGCTTTTGATGCAGGTGGATTGTTGTCGATTCTCCCCAATCCATTCCCTTCTATTTGTGCCAATTGGTCCAATAACCGATCAAAACCAGAACCCAATAGAAACTCTGACATACTTGCCGGCAATGGTCTTAGACCCGATCCGGCTCCATCGTCGTAATACAGCTCAAACCCACCGCCGGTGCCGGATTCCTCCGTACCGCTACCCGGTTCTTCCGGTGTGCTTGTTGCTCCACGGAGAACAATAACCGGGTTAAATGGTGAACGTTCACCAGCATTTCTTCTAGCTCGTCGGAGTAAAGGCGGGCTAGGACTCGGCGCCGGGCTGTGTTGCCCGTTTCCAACCATGTACATGGCCGCAGCAGGAAACCGACTCCGGTGATACTCCGAAATCACAGACCCATTTAATCTATTCGGGCTATCAATCTCCTCTATGAAACCTCCGTTGCAATCAGGACAAGATAAAGATGAATCTATTCGAGCCCTAATAGATCGGTTGCATCTGTAGCACCAGTACGATGATGATGAAGACCCAGCCGTTGACATCTATGAGTCTAAAAATCTGATATGACGAAAAATTACAAACCCCAAATCGATTTTACCAGGAATTCGATAACTCGCCTTTACTTTTCTTCAAGAACACCACAAAGATCGAATCCTCTTCTTCAAATAATGAATCTTTATAAGAAATGAGCCCTAAATACACATAACAAAACCCCCAAACTGTATAAACTGAGAAAAAGAATCTTCAATCAAGAAATTGATGGAATAAACCATAGACATGAAGCTTGAAATGGAAATTTAAAAATGGGTTAACGACGAAACAGGAGTATAATCGGTGGAAAAGGGGAATCTCTCCGGCAGGGAGAGAGATGATAGAGAGAGTGGGTGTGATGAAAGAGAAGAAGAATAAGCGATTCGTAAAAAACTAAAAATTATATGAAGGAGAAGGGAACGCGTGAGAGAGATTGGCGTGACATTAACGCTTGCAATGACCAGACACGTCAGACGACTTTTAGTGGAATCAGTCAAAGCTATGATTTCAAATTTTTATTTACATTTTGCTGCCTTCATTTATTATGTGAGTTTTAAGTTCTCCCCTCCAACTTTAAGATATTGCAAACTTAATGGAATTGAAAAACACACTTTATTTATTAATGTGATTGTTGTTGCCATTCTCGTTTTAAATAAGTATAGTTCAATAAGTTACGTTATTTTTTTGGTTTGTCTTTTTATAACTTTTCATTTGAATTAAAAATCAAACTTTTAATTAAGTTTTAAATATATTTTAAAGCATCACCTCTTGTACAAAACCTAACTCAGTTTACTATAATCATTTCATTATGTTCATAAATAAAAATATAATGGTATCAATAATGTCGAAGGCTTTTAACTATTTTTGTATGTTTTAGGTTAACGAATTTGTAGTTAATTTCCAATCTAAACACAATAGTGTCAAATTTGTCAATTAATGATTTTGGTTATCATAATGTTGGCATCGTTTAAAACCAAATATGACAAGGTAATCATATCTTTAAGATGGGACATGTTGAGTCCATTATAAAGTTCTCATGTCAAGTGAACACGGAGCACTATAACTACACAATTTGAACATTAAATCTTTTTTTTTTTTTATGTAATCTTGTATCTCAAGTGTTATCTTCATATCGAAGGCAAATGTTATGAACTGGATTTTAAGAACCGATTCAATAACACATAAATAATCAACGATTCTAATATTAATTGAAAGCACTCAATAATACCAAATGATTACAAGAATGAAGATAGTTTAGCCGATTCGAGATAGTCAATCTCCTAATAGGAATGATTTTCAATTTTCATACAAAAGATAGATATCTCACTTTCTGCCCACTATCATCTTCTTATACTATCTGACAAAACAGCTAGATACTATAAAATACTTAAAATATCCCTCCTACTAATAGATACTTTTTAATTTGATGGTTTTTTATATTATCCTAACTAACTTATTTGCCTAATATCAAAGGTATAAATCCATATTATTTCAGCGAATACAAGCTTTATTATTTGATGTTCTCCTACTTATATGGTGAAAAAAAATCTAAAGGTATATTTTTTATAAAACGGGATAAATTAAACTAAATATTGAATATTATATCAATTATTTAGAATGAATTATAACTTGTGATATTTTAATACTTAAAAGAAAATTTCAGTTATATGTTAAATAATAGTATTAAAAAGGGTGATTATTTTAGCTCGGAGTTAGTTCTACATTTAACTAAAAGATTGTAGGACCCAAATAATAACATAATATATTATTTATTTGTTTTTTTTCCTTCATCAACATTCTTTTAGGATTACTATTGTTAAAAAATTATTAAATTAGAAACTTTTAACAACTGGTAAATAACAATGGCAAAACATGTGTATCAAACAATAATAAGGGGATCGTTTTTGTAATTCCCTCTTCGCGTCTATAGCCGAGTATTATTCTCCTAATCTAACTTTTGAACGGTCGAGCATTGTTTGTATTCATTTCTTCCTTTCAGTTCTTTTCTGTTCCAAACTCCCGTTCCTACTTATGCTCGGAAGTCGGAAGCACAATGCATACTTTTTATATTTATCTATTTAAATTGAATAGCAGTTTATATCAAAGTGCATGGTTATACAAGTTTAATAAGATTTATATATAAACCTTATGTTAAGATTTTATTACACGTATAAGGAAGGGTATTCCATGGGGTTAATGATCTAGATAATAAAATTTGAACTTTGTTTATATTAGGTTTCTAAGGGTTTTTTTTGTACGTATTATATCAATATAGTTGTTATAACCGATTAAAAAATATAATAAGGTTTTAATTTTTGTCTACGTTAGGTCTCCAATATCTTTTTTTTGTACATATTACACGAATATAGTTGTTATAAGTTATAACCGTCTAAAGAGAGGTAATAATGTTTTAATTTTTTCCATATTAGGTCCTTATTTTTAATATTTTTATTATTCTATCGAACTCTTTTACAATTTATATGGTTTCATCATTTCATCTTCTCATTTTAATCGCTCATTCACTACAATCACAGTTTCAATTGAAATGTTACATAACAAATTTTTGTCATTTTTACAAAAAAAAAATAAAAAAAAAATATAATGGTTAAGGTTATATTTGTCGTGTCACAGCTAGCTAATAATGTACTTTATTTATCGGTCTTTTTTAAGTTGTCATGTTTGATAAGTCAAAATGTAACTTATAAGCTAGTGTTTTAAAAAACTACTTAGACTAGTGTTTTAAAAGATCTGTCAGAATCCTCCATGGTTGCTGAGAATTTAAGGATTGGTCAGATTATGGGTAAAGAGAAAGTTGTCGTTAGGTTTATACTTTTAAGGACGCATGTGTTGTCCATGCAACAGGAAGCTGATGGGTAAGGAACTTGTTGTGCTTAGTAGTTTCTTTCAGAAGTGTCATGGATCTTGATAGAAGAGCATTGAGTTCGATCTGTGCATCAGATTTAGGGATCATGGTTAGCCTATGATATGAGATAGTTATCTTTTGTTGAGATGGGGAAATTGTTGATCGACCTCAAAGTTTGGTAAGAGTATTTTCGTGTGGGCTTTATTCGATATGTGTGGAATCGATGGGCTTACTTGTCGATCCAATTTTGGTCGTTGGTTATTTCGTTCTTTATCATTTTGGTCGTTGGTTATTTCGTTCTTTATCATCAACCAAGGATATTTAAAGGCCTCAAGTTGTATTAGTTGAAGGTGCAGGTGATACATCAACCATTCTTCAAAAATTTTGAAGTTTATATATTGGTCTCTATGTAGGTGTTCTCTCGATTGCTTGGTTGTGGTATTGTTGTTCCTAGAAAGTTGAGTTAGCAGTTGTCCTTGGTTATTTGAAGTTCGGATATTGGAGCGATGTTTAATTTTTTCCAGGTAGAATCGTGGTTACGCAAAGTTCAGTTTTTTGCAAATCGTGTTGACTGGGTTGGTAATGGGATTGAGTTTATGAGTGTTTTGGCAACCTTTCTGGTTAATTTTGAAATCCCTTTCAAAATCGAAAGTTTTATTGGTCTTTTTTCATACAATGGGATCTTGTTGTGGTTGTTAGAAGAATGTGGCTAATAGCGGTTGAGGTTTGTTGTTCCATTCGATTCGCTAATATGTCACCTTTTGGGTAAGGTCGTGATTAAGAAGGAACACAAATGGCTGAGGAGTGTTGTGTTTCCTCTTAGGGAGTGTGAAATGACGTGCTTTCAAGTTGGAACGAGTGTTCAATTGTCTAACTTGTTTCTGGTTGTGCACGATTATGTTTCGTTTGATGATGCACGAGTGATAGTGGATTTGTAGAAGTGTTATGTGTTACAAAATGGTATGGCTCCTGTGTTTTGGTAAAAGTATTGAGTAAGATGTTATCTGCGTTCCTACCAGTCAGTAGGATGATGGCAGTGTGCCTTTAGGCCAATTAAATGTTGTTTTGGAGTATGCGTATTTATGATTAGGTGATATCAAGAACGGTGAGGAATTGTGAGCTTCTTATCCCACTGGTTAGATGGCGTCACGGCGTGTCGTGAGCCATCTTGGATTTCACTTTTATGAGTGGGGACGATAGTTATGTAGTACAGACATGTGTGTTGTTTGCTTATCATGTGGCATAGTTGGGTGTTTGAGCAATATAGTGTTAACACTAGACACTAGTGGTTCAATGACCGACAGGTTGAGTTAGGTAGTTGTAGGGTGTTGGCTTGCTGAAATAGTTATAGTGGTATATTAGCATCTCATTATTGAGATCATTCTTAATGAATTCGTTTTTATGACAAGGTTTCGTGTGAGTTAAGTTAACGGTGATGTGGGTGGTTATAAGTCTACTGGGTGTTTCAGCAGATGAATGTACACCTGAGTTGTCTTGGAAGCTTGAGTGGCATGCAGGTTTTTGTAACGTCCCATTTCTGGTATGTAATTTAAATAAAGTATCTTTCAATTTTTAAGGGGGTACTCGACGAGTCTGTAGCCCGACTCATCAAGTTGAGATAGGATAATCACGCATTTGGGGTTGATTACTCAACGAGTCCATACGCTTGGACTCGGCCAGTTCGCTTGTCTGAATAAAGCCCTAATTTCAAGGGTTTGTACCCTATTTAAATGTCCTTATAGCCTCCCATCCCAACCTCCAACACCTTTAAAGCATTTCCCCTATAAACCTTAGCCCCATTGTTGAGTTTGAGTGTGATTATGTTAGCTTGGAAGTTTTGGAAAAGAAGGAAGGAGAGAAGGTGCATAGAAGAGAAAGGAGATCTATGAGTTAGCTTCCATCAGTTTCTCATTCAAGTAATGAAGTTATGACCTTGTGTATTCCTCCATTTAAAACCCCTTTTATGCTTGTCATGTCTTCTTTGGAACCTTTTATGATTCAAAACTTAAGATACAGACTCTCTTTTGGAATGGAAACCTTAGATCTAAACGTTATTGAACCCCAAGAACTCATTGGAAACATCTTTATGCGATCTTGGCCTTGTTCTAAACCCTAAGTGCTTATTATTTGTTGATTTTGGGTATTTTA